GCCAATTTTCAACTGTTGAGGAGTGAGCTGACGAATGCGCAGGGGTGAGGTGCGTGGACGGACAGAAGTGCTGCAAACGTTCGATGTTTTTAGATTGAGTATTGCAAGTGGGAGTTTTTCATTGTGGAAAAATCCAAAAGCTGAGAGACGAGCGAAACACGTCACTACTCAAGGAGCACGTCACACGTTTGAATGCATTTATTTGCAAATTGTCGATTGGTATATTTGCCGGAGCAACGGAGCTGCTGATAAGGTCAATTTTTCGTTCGCATCTCCTTCTTTTATAGGCATCTGTAAGGAAGTATCAAGTATTACTCAAAGGGAGTTGCGAAAGATAGAGAAAATGAGGAATTAGTACACGTCACTGAAAAGTACCTTTGGAAAAATGACTTTCATCATAGAACTGATGGGTCTTATTGCCTCAGTGAACCGAATTTATAGTTGTGTTCGTTACATTTGCGAAAATGGGACTGATCGGTCGTAGTATTCTGGTTCGTCAAATTCCTCGTTGTTAGAAAGCTGTTTGGACTGATTATAGAAGAAAGATAAAATGAATGGGAAGGTAAATAATACAAATGAAGGAGGAAAACAAATCAAATCAAAGGAAAGTCGTAGACAGTGATACGCATAGTAGGGTTGAATCATAAAAAGTCGAAGGGAGAGAAACGAGAAAGGAAAATTATGACAGACATAATGGAAACAGAAAGTGGATCGATATTAGTATGGTTACTGGAGAGGTAAGATGTTTAATAAGGAGGCAGCGGACCGAGTCGATTTCATAACGATGATGGCGACGTTAATTATTTGGTATGACGGCAACAGAGTATAAGATTGATGCGACACCATTTGGTTGCTTCAGACTAATCCTTATTCTGAATGGAAGAAGCCAAGGCATTTGTCGCTACGTTGCTTTCAAGCCTTTCCTGGGCTGTGACAGATGGGGTAGTGGCTGCCTTGGCAGGCAATGAGTTCCAGCGGCCTCAGACTGCAGCAAACGAAAAGTGTGGTGGCAAACATGTTTTTGAGGGGAATTTCTTCACCACGGTGTCCCTCGGGTAATATTCCCGTGTTCAGGTGGCTTGGATTACTAAGTATCTCTTAAGTCGTCAAGTTGCCACGTGACCTACGGTAACCAGGGGAGTGAGGATCTAAGCCCTTTAGTCTGCCCTCCTGTCGCACTTTTCGGCTCGCCTGTGTGCTTTCTCCAGTGGGTTCATGTGCCATTTAAGGTGTTCTGGTACAAAGAGGTATTGGTCCTTTAGGTGGGGTCATATGTATGTATGTTAAAGCTAAACAGGAAGGGCTCCAGGGTGAGGGCATCTAGCTGTTCTCGCGTTGAGCGTAGTACTTCGTAAGTTGTGGAGGCTTCTTCAGGACAATTTGAACCATCGTTCTTTTTGTCGACGACCACTGAGCTTGGATCACGAGAGGAAGGTGCATACCTCAGATGGAAGATGGTACTTTCCGACAAGAGAGGCCTGGACTTCGTCGGGATTTTTTCAAACGTACCGGGGACAAATTTTGACGCAACCTGTTCTGAATGTTATTGAAGTACATTAGCACGACTAAAAGTCCACTTCGACGCCATATGATTGTCCACCAAGAAAACACAGTTGCATGCTTCATGCACCATGTAAGTACTTTTTCTTCTGTTTCCCAAGTTCAGAATAAATTTACGAGCCGCGAAAAGTGTGAGGCAGCCAAGCAGAGGGAGCATTCGTTTCTGGCAGTCACATTTGTAACATATCGGCCTCTCTACGGCAACCTTCGTATTCCTTCAGCCGCAAATTCGGGCTCTCCAGTTGCTGATTTTAAACATGTTCTTATGCAAGTCGTCTGATCTTTGTGAACACCTTTCCTTTCGCTGACAGTAACTTTACACACGATCTCGCCAACTGTTTCTAAAAGTAGCGTCCAAATTACACAGACCACAAATATCTTCTATCTTCTCAGCAGTGGTTAAAAAAGCCAACCACCGTCCTGCGCAGTCTGGATGTGATTCAGGAATCCCGATGGAAAATGAAAAGTCAAAGTGTCACAGTTATTGCCTCTCGGTGTATTCAAATGTAACTGAACAACCTGAGTACGTTTTTACCGTGACATTCTGTGCCTAAATATTACGATATTATTGCATGCCTTCCAAACTTAGGTTTTTAAATAAGACATGATACATAGAACACACAAAGAAAGGTGTTTGCTTGCCTGTGTGTTAGCTGTAGCTCTGACATTCTGTGCACCATCCACAATGAAAGTTTGTGTTTGTTGTATTTATCAAAATCTTCTGGAAACAGTCTAGAATCCATGTGACATATCTTGCGAACTACTATTTAGTCTAGGTAAACATGATATGGTATCCTAGGTCAAACTCATCAGTGACCATGAGATGACGCCACCAAATCTGCCCCTTTGATCGTAACCATGAAGCAGTAACCTCTCCCGTTAGTATTATAGCTGGAATATATCCCAACCACTTCAGGATACTCGAGGTACACCTCTGTCCGACCGTAAGCTGAAAGGTAGATCCTGGAAGCATCTGTAGGGGTGCGTGTTACAATTCCGTAACGTTTGATTAACCCTACTTAACTTGATGTGCTCTAGTACCTGCTTAACCAGTACTTTACCTAACGTGTAAGTACCGGTAACAAAACACAAATCAAAAGAACTGATACGCAATGTATTTGAAGGAGCTATGTATTTAATTAAAGTAAATGTAATAGTAATGAATGAGGGAAAAGTTTAATCAACTTATCTGGCTTGTAAGGCTGAACTAGGGACTCGGAGTACGTGCGTGGTAATCAGCACAATGGAGCGCAAAATGGCGTCGAAGTCTGCTCGGATGCATGCTCGTTAAAACAAAACTTACAACACCCTAAGCATCCGGAGGTAAGCTAGAGACTTATTTAGTTAATTTAATTTAAACTATTTATTTTAGCCTTAGTTATATTTTGGTGCCAGGAAGGTGCACTACACATCCAAGAGCCAACCCTCTCTGAATAAAATTTTTCCAACTTTCCATTCCACCCAAAAAACCGAATGTACGAATTCGCGTCACACCTTTTGAATCAGATTGTACCGATAACTTCCAAAATACCTTCAATAACTTGACACCATACTTTTAAAATCGCTTAACTTTAGGAGTTTGTAGGGTGGCAGTGTTACTATTCCGTACCGTTTGACCAACCCTACTTAACTTCATGTACTCTAGTACCGCCTTTACCAGCACCTTACGTAACGTGTAAGTACTGATAACGAAACACAAATCAAAAGAGCTGGTATTCGAAATATATTCGAAGAAGCAATATATTTAACTAGAATGAATGTGATAGTAATGAATAGGGGGAAGAATTTTTCAACTGATCCGGCTAGTATGGTTGAACTAGAGGCTGTGAGTACGTGTATGCTAACCAGCACACAAGCAGCGCAAAATGGCGTCGACGCCTGCTCGGATGCATGCTCGTTAAAACAAAACTTAAGATACCTAGAGCATCTGGACGCCAGCTAGAGGCTTATTTAGTTAATTTAATTTAATCTATTTATCCCGAGTTGTATTTTGGTGCCAGGAAGACGCACCACACATACACTGACACCATTCGTACCCGATTACAATGCAGTCTTTCTGAGTCTGGGTTTGAGTGGCCACAAAATATCCTGAGAATAAACTTCAAGATGTATTGAATTTCAACGATTTTGCACCACTAGCAAACCAGTTAGTCTAGATAAACTTAGTGGTATCAGGCTAGTGAAAATTGGCTTATGCTTTTAGTTATTCTCTGGTTTAAAGTTTCTATATTCTCCCAATTCTAATTCATGACTACACTTCGACATGAGTGGTATATTATCCCGCCATCTAACTGCTGATTTGTGTTTGTTTATGTGCAGTAAGCATATGACCGAAATGTTAATTTCGACTAGAAATCACCTGAAACAGAACACATTATATCAGCCTTCGTTTACAATACACAATCTTCCTATGGACCATAAAAACATTTGTACATGCTAAGTCGTTGGCTCACGTTATTCTTTTCCTCCTTTCCCTTCCAGATTCTCGTGGTGACCACTAAATTCACACTGCTCTACACGCCCCTCCGCAACAACGTACCTACTCGCCTGCCTACCCACCTACAGGCTAGACGAAAACCTATCAAAAGCTGGTTGGTGGTTCTTTATCAGTGTTATGTACATTATTTCACCTCCTCTAAAGTTTTATTTAACTTCATAAGTAGCTTGTCTTCTGAAAAACATAAAAACTGAACCAACAACTACTTATTAAAAACATTCAAGCTTTAGAAGAGATCAAAGAGTGACCGATTTTAATCCATATCACCAAGAATTCTTAGTCACTGATTTCTATCATCTCGAGGAGCCCAGTCAGACAGTCCACACTTCATTACACGACTCAGACCAACAGTCAGGGACTTTATGTACTGGTATGCCATTTCCTAATCCAAACTTCACCCAACATTGCACGTCACGGTAGGCGGTGACTTGGTCGATGAATGCCACATTGAAGTAATAAGAATTTAGTGGAGAATTTATTTACAAGCTTTAAGATCATTAAAAGCTGAAGGAGATTAATAAATATGGATGACAATATAGTATATAATATGTACACATACATCTTTTACGTTGTCTCAATTGTAATCACAACGAAGAAGCATAACTTATATATATTAAATGAGACTTAAGAAGATATCATAAAGATAGTTTATAACGATGGTTCAATATTCTCATTCTCATTATTATCATACACATTGTACACAAAACAATTGTTAAATGGTTTATGAATGATCCCGGTGATATGATAATCATCTTTATCCGTAGTCATGGGGAATGACGGTATGCTATCTAATCATTGTTAAACAATTGCGAAACCGTAAAAGGAATGTTTCAATATCATTTTAACATTGTTGTTCGATTATTCAACTTTAATATGTCATCTTTAACCATGTATATATATATATATATATATATATATATATATATATATATATATATATATATCCATCATTAAAGCTAGTTGAACTATCTACTATGAATATTTTACAAGTTTGTTGTATTGTATTTACAAATGGTAAAAACAAAAAAAACTGATTTTTCTTTATTTATTGTCTTGTCAGTTTCTGTGTTAAATGTTATACTGTTCACTTGTTGAGTTGCATTCACTTTGATAGTTGTAAACACTGATTTGGTATGGAGTGAATTGTGTAAAAGTTGACCGGTTATTGTTAATACTACTATTATTATTGGTAGTAGTAGTAGTAGTAAGGGTGGTAGTAATAGTGATAGTAGGAGTAGTATTATGAATATTATTATTATTATTCATACGTGTACATGATTTCCATCTAGATATCATGTGAGATATATTTGATGTATCAGATTGACTAATTCCATGGATTGGTTCATCTAATTTTTGCATCATTGTTGTAATACGATTAGGTGATAAATCTGAAGAACTTGATGACCAATGATTTGGCGATTCACTATCATCTGAACCTATATGAGGGTGTAGTACATTCAAATTATTATTAGTAGTAGTAGTAGTAATCGTAGTGGTGGTGGTAGTAATAAAAGTATAATCTACTTTGGGCAATAATTCCTTATTCCTTTTAATATGATTACCAGAATTACTGATATTGTGAGTAATAAATGGAGTATTACTTGTTGTATAAGTAGTAGTAGTAGTATTAGTAGGAGTAATGGCAGTAGTGTAATGCTTGAAATTATCCCGTTTGTATAATGTCTGTTTTTGATGAAAACAGTATTGTGTATAATCGTTAGGCATATTATGTACAAAATAATCATGATTAAATGATGACATATTATCATTATTATTATTATTATTATTATTCAATATATTCAATTGTGATGATGCAACATTGTTATGTATTGTTGTTGTCATTGAAGTGATTTCACTGTTATTAGTTAAAGATGGTGATTTTGATAAAGTTTTACACTTTTCATTAAATATCATTATAGATGATGGAGAAGATGATGATAATGATGATGATGATGATAATGATGAAGATGGTGTTAATTCATATGTTTTAATTATTCCATCTTTTATTATAGCATTTTGATGAGTTGATAAACTCTTAATTGATTTTTTCTCATTCATATTCTTTGTAAACATTTTTAATATAACATCATTAGGGAATAATTTATTTTCATGATATGATTTATGAATATATGGTGTATTAGTTGAGTGTATATCACAGACAGATAAATTATTACTAAAATTATTATTGTCATATAATTGAGACGGTAAAAGATAAGGATAATATGATTGCTCTGATGTTGTTGTTGTTGTTGTTGTTGTTGCTGCTGCTGCTGCTGTCACCGCTGTCATCAATATATCTGATGGAAAAGAATCATATTTTCTAGCTATCCTATCAATATTACCATTTGTACAATGTTCAATATTCGAATTTACATTTGTATATGCATCTAATAAATTAACAATATCATAATGACCGCCTAAATAGGCTAAATCTCTAGGTGTACGATCTAAATAATCAGCTAGATTAGGATTAGCTCCAGTTAATAATAATAAACGACAACTTGTTATAGCACCCTCTCTACAAGCTAATGCTAATGGTGTCTCTTCATGTAAAGTTTGTGCATCATATGTTGCACCAGAATTACATAAATTATTAATAATTTCTGATTGATCAGTTACAGCAGCCCAGTGTAATGCTGTACGTCCAAAACTATCTGAAGTATTAATATCAAGAAAATTTAAAGTATTCTCTTCATAATTATATTCTATACCTGTAGCTGTTATTGTAACTGGTGATAAGGATGATGTTGATGATGATTGGATAGGCACGAAATCACCTGATACTCCTGTAATATCGAATCCACTACATTCTTGATTATTATTATTATTATTATTATTATTAGTAGTAGTAGTAGTAGTAGTAGTATTAGAAAGATTTGATTTTGTTAGTGCACAAACTAATACATTCATTGCATGTAATACCATATTGAAGATATCTAGAATTCACGAAGAAAATGTACAGAGAATAAAAAGTGGAAATGACTAGTAATATTCTCTAGTATTTTATGGATTATGTAATATATTCCTAAAAGTCATTAGTATGCTTGTCATTACTTATAAACAAAGTATGATTCATCCTCCATGATCAAACAAATCACAATCGTTTTAAACAATCAGTATGTACGCAGAGATACCCAACCAACAACAACAAGCTCTAGTCACAGTCAACTGGAGAAACTTGAAGGAAGTAGTCTACTTCACCTATCTAGTCAGCACTGTTTCAACTACAGGCACAAGCACAGACACAGACAAGGACGTCGAAGCCAGGATCGGAAAGATAGCAAGAAGACAGGTGTTCATTAACCTGAAACCAGTGTGGAGATCTTCTGCACTCAGCATGTGGAACAAGATGCGGATTTTCAACAACAACGTCAAGTCAGTGCTTCTCTATGGCTAGGAGATTTGCCGCGTTACGAAAAGCATTCCCAACAAACTACAGATATTCACCAACAACTGCCGCCTACGCTGGCTCGATACTGAATCTCAGATAGCCGGAAAGAATAAGCAAAAAGTAACTCTGGTTGGCTGGCTGGCTGACTGGCTGGCTGGCTGGCTGGCTGGCTGGCTGGCTGGCTGACTGGCTGGCTGGCTGGCTGGCTGGCTGGCTGGCTGGCTGGCTGGCTGGCTGGCTGGCTGGCTGGCTGGCTGGCTGGCTGGCTGGCTGGCTGGCTGGCTGGCTGGCTGGCTGGCTGGCTGGCTGGCTGGCTGGCCGGCCGGCTGGCAACGAACCAACGAAGCAAGAACCTATCACTCAACAAATATGCACTGGAAGGAAGTGGAGATGGATTGGACTGGACATACACTGAGAAGACCGACTGGGGACATCACGCGCCACCCCAGTCGCTCGAGTGGAACCCAGATGGGAAGTGACGTGTTTGGCGTCCGAGGTGAGGGTGACATGGAGGAGATCGTGCGAGGAGGAAATGAGAGGTTGTGAGCTATCATAGAGCCAGGTTGAAAAGATTTCAGAGAAGAGAGTGGAATGGAGACGTGCTAGTGAAGCCCTATGTTCCATTAGGAATCCAAGGGACAAGTAATAATAATAATGATAATAATGATCGGATAATTTCTTAGATGAATAAAGGGAAATTTGAACATCATAACAACATGTAGTGATTAACATAGGTTGATAGTCTTAAGGATAGTACTCTCATGCTTCAACCAATTAGCGGTAATTTCAAGTTGATACTCATTATGGATTGATGTCATTTGGAGGAAAATTGGAAACATGGGAGAACTGGATAGCTGTTTCGACCTAACATGCGACTCTTCTGCAGCGCGCACCCATAACCCCTTGAAATCAGTAAAAATCCACACAACCCCTCAAATTAAATTATAGGTTCTTTGAAATTATCAATCAATAATCCACTCATGTGTATATCTGAAGTTTTCAACCATGAAATTATCATTAAGAGTATTATAAAGTTGAAACTACAGGCAATATTGATACATCCGCACAAAAGCCAATATACTAACATAGACCAATCAGTTCAATTCATTCAACGAAGGGATAATACAAGCAATAACAGAAATAACCTTATCAATTTAATATTGTAGTAGGCGTTGTTCATCGGAATGAATATAAGTTGTATATGTTGAGAGGTCGGCAGAAATCATAGACAACTACCAGCGATGGGTAAAGATTCTGCCCAGAGAAACGCGAGAAACAATCAAGACAGAATCAGAATAGGAAATGAAGCACATTATGCAAGTGACTGTCTCAGTGGAAAGTGTACAATATTTGATGACTATTGTACAAGATCCCAGTAATGAACTTTCCATCCTTCGTCTTCGTCTTCTCGTTTCCTTAAATATTACTACAACTAAAAAAGTTATTTAAGTTGAAAAGTTGATTTTATTGAACACCACTCTCCTATTCCTGGTGCATAAAGCATAACATTCATGAATGGTTACAAAGTAGTCAACCAACGATGTGTACTTTATTTGTTACTAAGTTGTAGAGTATAATCTCAACTACTGACTCGGTAGAGATTTAAGCATTTGATCTAAAAAAAAGTGAAATGACAGAGGTGCATACCGTAAAACGTTTCTGTGCAATGATACCAAGAATAAACATGACCATTTCTGCACACAAAAAAAGTTAAGATACTGCATGTTTTCTAAGCAGTTGAACAAGATTGTATTCAATTAACATTAACTTTTCTTTTATCAATCATAAGGTTATTCAGTGATGATTAAGGTTAGACTATTTCGAAACCACTTTTCATTATGCCTTTACGCTTTTAACTAGGATCTGATAATTTTGCAATCTTCTCCAACAAAATCATAATTAAAATTGATTCTACGTATCACTAACACTCGTTACTGAATACAAAAACTTTGCAAAATGTAATTCTATTACACATTAATGGGTAGTTTCGGTATTACTCCCCCCCCTTGCCCCTTAGGCTTATAAACCGTAATCATAAAGCAGTCTCCAGATAGTAACTAAAACAAATCTTCTAGTCCTTACTACTGTCAGTAATTTGTAGACTATGAATCGTAGTGAATGTGACCATTTAAGCGGAATGACACCACTCTTCTGTATATTGTGTTCAGTCTATCATTATTATTTTTTTATCCCTTGGGTTCCTAATGGAACATAGGGCTTCACTAGCACGTCTCCATTCCACTCTCTTCTCTGAAATCTTTTCAACCTGGCTCTATGATAGCTCACAACCTCTCATTTCCTCCTCGCACGATCTCCTCCATGTCACCCTCACCTCGGACGCCAAACACGTCACTTCCCATCTGGGTTCCACTCGAGCGACTGGGGTGGCGCGTGATGTCCCCAGTCGGTCTTCTCAGTGTATGTCCAGTCCAATCCATCTCCACTTCCTTCCAGTGCATATTTGTTGAGTGATAGGTTCTTGCTTCGTTGGTTCGTTGCCAGCCGGCCGGCCAGCCAGCCAGCCAGCCAGCCAGCCAGCCAGCCAGCCAGCCAGCCAGCCAGCCAGCCAGCCAGCCAGCCAGCCAGCCAGCCAGCCAGCCAGCCAGCCAGCCAGCCAGCCAGCCAGCCAGCCAGCCAGCCAGCCAGCCAGCCAGCCAGCCAGCCAGCCAGCCAGCCAGCCAGCCAGCCAGCCAGCCAGCCAGCCAGCCAGCCAGTCAGCCAGCCAGCCAGCCAGCCAGCCAGCCAGCCAGCCAGCCAGCCACAGTTCCTTGTTGCTTATTCTTTCTGGCCATCTGAGCTTCAGTATCGAGCCAGCGTAGGCGGCAGTTGTTGATGAATATCTGTAGTTTGTTGGGAATGTTTTTCGTAACGCGGCAAATCTCCTAGCCATAGAGAAGCACTGACTTGACGTTGTTGTTGAAAATCCGCATCTTGTTCCACATGCTGAGTGCAGAAGATCTCCACACTGGTTTCAGGTTAATGAACACCTGTCTTCTTGCTATCTTTCCGATCCTGGCTTCGACGTCCTTGTCTGTGTCTGTGCTTGTGCCTGTAGTTGAAACAGTGCTGACTAGATAGGTGAAGTAGACTACTTCCTTCAAGTTTCTCCAGTTGACTGTGACTAGAGCTTGTTGTTGTTGGTTGGGTATCTTCATCACCTCTGTCTTCTCTAGTGTTCAGTAAACAATATTCGTCGGTTTATGTATTTATTCGCCTTTACCAATGAGAAGAGTTGAAAAACTCTCGTAGAATACTCAATCACACTATATCAAATCGCGTAATCCTAAGATCATGCTGCATTTCTCTGCCTACATGATTGAAATATCTTAATAGATCAGAAATAACGTCTAACTACAAAGTTGAATGAACATAGTTCAAATGTCTATTGAAGTACAAAAAATTTCTTATTGGGACCGAATTTCCTTGAAATTGAAAGTGATAAAAACAGGTATTTTATAGGTTAACTAACCTCTTCATTCATTAGCCTACATATAATGTAATTTAATGTGACTTTACTTGTCTGTGTATTCATGTTCTGGCAGAAAAAAATCAACATAGAGTCTCGTACACAAGCGTATCGGTTCAACTTTCCATATTTCATAGTAGTATACAAAGAACAAGTGGTTAGAAAAAGACTGACATCAAAGTAGCATGAGAGAATAAACAATTTGACCGATTTCCAGTTGTTTCACTAACAGCTTCCCAATCATTGATTCTCATCGTCTGGGGAACCCTAACCAGATAGTTTACACCTCCCAACACAGCTCAGATCAATAGTCAGGGATTTCATGTATCGATGTCACATCTTGTCCTGATCCTAAGAACTCTCTTCTAACTTAGTCTAATTTCCTGTAGCATCGCACACCAAGGTACCTGGAGATTCCACTTGCCCAATATGTGTACCAGGCATTTCAGTAGTTGAAGGTTCATAACCTCATTGACTGACTTCCCTTCCTTCCCTAGTACCCTTCACATGAATCTGTAATCTCTTCACACCTACTTTCAAAAGCTATACCTTATGGACATATAACAGAAGAGAAAAAACTTCACTTAACAACTAGTTGAATAGCTCACCAGTCGGAACTACAAATGATGCAAATTGGAAAATGACAAGTGGGCCTTCTGTATCCAAGGTGAGATTTCGTAAGTAACCAGCGTTTTTATGGCTGAAGTGGTCGACACATCCCACAACTTCAATCTATATCCTTAAACTGGAAGTACTTGCAACAGACCAGACCTGGAACATCATCTCACACTCAACAGTCGTCTTTCATAGTAAGAAAATAATTTCTAATATATAAAGACAATGGAAATAATCGATTATTCTTACCGATATCGCCTAATTTAATTGCTTGTATAAGTGGGGTTGTTGAATCTTGTAGCATATTTGGTACATAACAAAGTGGGCTAAGACCAGATGTTGAATGATTTAGAATTACTTGAACGGAATCATTAGCACCAGCACTAATAGCTGTATAAAGTGCTGTTCGACCCTGATTATCAACAGTAGAAAAGTCTGCACCAGCATTCAAGAGGTTAGATACAACTTTGCTTTGATTGAATCTAATTTATGGGGGAAAATTTATGAAAATAAAATTTCAAATCAAACAAAGAAATGGTGAAACAATGTTGCTCATCAGTAGAACTATATTACTATCTTAATATTCCTCTTAAGTTAATTTCCAAGTGAATAGGACTAATCAGGTTTATGAACACAAAAACGGTTGTGAAAATCTGCAATGAATTTTATCTAACCAGATAACAACCTGTTCACCAAAAAGCATTTTATTAACTTTACGCAGTCACCAGTTAACTGAATATACCTGCCTCCCAGTGAGTGATGTTGACCCCGTAGGGACTCGAACTTGGGAACCGTCGCTGCAAACGACAGAGCATTATCCACCTGACGAGCCCCAGAGAGGACGAAACGCTCATCAACACAACTATCAACACAGGACCAAGCAGTATTACGTAACACACCGAGGTAACACACCTCACATCAGTACATCCAGTAAAAAGCCGGTGAGGTGAAAGATGAACATAAGAAAATTCACTCAGAAGAAATATAAGTACGAAAAGAGAGAAAGGGAGAATGAGAAAATGCTGAGATTCCCCATAGCGTAGTTATCATGAGGATAATGTGTGTGTGTGTGCGTTTACATCTGCACCACTCACATCGGTTCTCAGCCATGTGATCACCTAGAGTCAGTCTTCAACCACTGGTTCCTCTTGTCCCACGGACACCAAACACCTAGTCTGCATCGCCCAACATCGCTCAAACCAACACTCAAACACTTCATACATTGATGCCATCATTTAGTCTGGCCACCTCGGCCCTTTTTACAGCCTCCACCTACTTCGACCAACATTGTGTGACAAGCCAATCAGCGACTAGGCATACGTAACACCTCCCAACCAGCTATCCTAGTCGATGAAGGTTCATAACCTTGTCGACTGATTTACCTCTACTCCCTAAAACTCTACAACTGACGTCTGCATCACGCACTCACGTGGTGACACCACGGAATATGGCCTACACTACGAAGGCAACAGAAGTCAAACACTTGGAGCCTTCCTATGTCTAGGCATCGTTGAACACCAATTCCTCGAGCAAATATTTGCATTTGAGTGGTGAGAAACGCATCCCAAACATTCTCAAATTCCCACTCTAAGTCTTCAGAAGACTCTGCATCTTGTCAATGTCTCCACCTAACAAAACTACGTCATCTGTATATTCTACGTCGAACAAAAATTATCCACCGATTAGGTCAACGCCTGTGTAATCAGGTGACGAGAGGGAGATCTCCGTAAGAATATCTATGATAAAATTGAATCAGAATAGAGACAGTCAGCACCCTCGACGGACACCACTCAACGAGAACAGCTCTCCAAACATCTCACCATAGGCTCTAACACGCCCACAAGCGTTCGAGTAGACAGCCTTTAATACTAACGTGATGTACTCACTCGGCACCCCTCTCACTGAAAGACATCGCCATAAAACTTCTCGATCAAAGGAGTCAAATGCCACCTTCAGGTCGACAAATACACCTAGTGTCGAGCTTTGCCAAGCGTGCCTGTGTTCCAAAACCTGGAGCAGTCTGAATATTTGGTCGATAAACCTGCGCCCACGTCTACAGCCTCCCTGGTTTTCTCGGACTTGCTGTTCCCGAGCTCCAATCAAGTGTCTAGTGATTACACAACCTACAATCTTGAACACTATGTTCGTCAGGCTGATTCCTCTGTGGTTATCACAAAACGACTTCTCACCTTTCCTGAAGACTGGGATAATCAGTGATTTAGACCAGTCAGAAGGGATCGCATTTCATTCCCATATACCGACTAACACTTTCGTCAACCTGACTAACAGCACTCTATCACCATCCTTGTATACCTCAGCAGGTAGGCCGTCTCGTCCTCCTGCTGCCCTTCCTCGTTTCAGGCTACCTACTGCTTCCTCGACTCCTCCTATCGTTGGCGGGCATATCTCAGTGTTCCATTCAGGATCCGACTGAATAGCCCGCAACGCAATCGTCGCTGGAGGCCAGTTAAACTGTTCCTTTAAGTGTTCTGCCCATTATTTCAGTCGTTTCCCCTGAGTGTGAATCACAGACCCTTCCTTCTCCGCCATAGCCTCACTAACTGTCGTTGACCTTTTCCCCCAGTCTCACTAATAAGTATAAATAACTCTCAACTATTACCAATCGCCACTGCCTTTCCCACCTATTTAGCCTTCGCTGACCACCACTGTTCGCGGTCGTGGCGCAAACTTTTTCTCAGTCTACTCTTAAGTTGCGCTCGCTCTTCATTGTACTCAGAACATGCAGGGTGCGCTCACGTGCATCTATTAGTTCGGAAGAAGCTACTGATATCCACTACCTCTTTTTAGCCACTATTTACGAGTCGGCTACGGTCTTCAGTGCTGCTTTTACAGCAGACTCAAGATGGCACCAACCTTCTTCTAGACGAGTGATAGTCTGCTGTTCTGATAACTGCTTAGCCAACTTCTCACTGAACACGGTTCTGGTGCTTTCCTTGTCCAGCAGCATTCACAGTGGTTTTGTTGCCAAATGTTTCTTACATCCATTGAGAAGCAGGCATATAAGGGCTCGGACCAACGCATGGTCGCTATCCAAACACATACTCCAGAAGGAGCGGCAGTCTTCCAACGATCCCCTCCAGCGATGACTGATAGCAATGTGGTCTGTGTCCATCGCTGGGTTGAGCTCGGTGGACGCCACATCAGACAGTGTCTTTGTTAGTGTCTGAAATTTGTGCTAGCTAGCTAGCTCATCAAGCTGGATTCCACTGCTAGCTACTACCCATCATGACTATAATTAAAACACAGTTCAGGAGCTCATATGCCAATAGGGACCAATGAATTCGATCCAATCAACGATGGGATGATACAAGCAAAAAGGGATAAAAGATGACAGTTAGCACTAGAAATACTGCTGCATATATCTTAGACCTATCAATAGAAAGTGCTGATATGCAGATGATCACCAATGTGGTTCGATGACCTTTTGGCATCTGTGGTGAATATATGTAGCTCAGAGCGTGGATGGGTTCTCTCAGTTAAGGGGTTAACCCTTTATTGACCGGTACACTTCTCCCCACACCTTCCAATATGTTTGTGTAACCAAGAGACTAGAAAAATTATTTGTTGGAATCTGATTATTTGAGCCTAGATAAGCTATTTGTGCTTAGATGAAATCATTTTTCACAAAGAAATCGCCATCTGGTTAAGATCCAAAATTAATATAGAATTTGTAGAGATTTTCTTATTCTGTAGTGACAAGGTTCTTGAATATTAGTAATATTTTGCTTTATATGTTACTAAAATAAAAGCTTACTATTGTTTGTAAACTTTTCATGAAAAGTGTGCTTATAATACACTATTTCATTCATCGATATATTTAAATCCTTGTAGGAATACACTACTAGTTGTAATCTGAAGGCTAATGTTGTTGAGAAACTGATTAACTCTGCTTTGGTGGTTCTGATCCCCAATTAAGATGGTCATCGATATCGGTGCTAACTGAATAATCACCTTCATATCGGGAAATTTTAAAATGTATCCCCATGTTTGCTATGAAATTGTAACCATTTACTATGCCCTTGGAAAGTTTTTATTGACAATGGATTTGTTGTTAAAGAGGAAGTATGATAGCCAAGGGGACTATTTTATTTCTTTTGTGATTAAAAGACAGCTATTAAGAAGTGGTAGTGAATATGAATTCTTGTTTATATCAAATCACTGTAATAAATGGGCTTATGAATACAGTCTCAGAAAGCGTATCCTGACTGATTCATTTTGGGTTACAACACTTCTGACAGTATCATTGTATCGTTATGGTAACAAAGTAACCCATTACCGGTTTGCTCTGTTTTATAGTGCCTTTCGATTTCATGAAACCAATCACTTCGATTGATTCGTCGTGTATTTCAATTCAACAACATTTGACACAAGTAGATGAAGGGGGAAGGGGTAGAAAGTGATAGTTACAAAAAAATTATTGGTCATGGATCAAATGTATTTCCGACAATAAATACTTTCTACTATTCAGATAATGACACAACGTAAACAATATATAAACCTGTAAATGATGGATCGTGGCTAGCAATGGAATCTAGGATGCGCATTTCGTCCTATTTGGGACTCACTAGTCAGCTGGATGTACCTGCTTCCCAGTGAGTGATGTTGTTCCCACTGGGATATCGAGGCATCCGCACAGCAGCCCATACGCCAATAGAGACCGGTCAATTCGGTCCAATCAACGACGGTATGATATAAAAACAATTATACTAAATACTATAAACCTGTCTCTGGTTTATCCCTCAGCAACAGATGGAGATTTATTTTAATTTAACTAGTTTGTTATGTTATCTAAAAAATGAATGAGGAGGAAACAATACGAGTGACTTTAAATGCCACCTTGACAAGAGGTAAATTAACCAATCAGATTTGGCCATTTTATGAAAATCTCCCCTTCTAGTCTAATTGGTTATTTCTACTGTTGCTAGGTTGACCTTTAAAGTTAATTAAATAATAGAATAGATTTTACCTTGCAGATATATGAAGTAGTGTTTCACCAGTATCTGGAATCCTAAGCTTTAATAATCGATGTAAATGTTTTGACTTGTAAATTAACTGCCAAGCAATCATTGGATTCATTGAATTCTGTAATAATATCTTTGAAGTAACAGTACTACTTGATTCATTTATCTCAGTAAGAAGTTGACAAATCAAATTAAAATCTACATTTTCATAATTATTTTGAAATCGACTAAATGTAGTACATACAGTTTGTTTTAATTGTTGCTTATGCATATAATATGATTGGCATTGTTCATCATTGATCATATCCATTAATTCTTCACAATCGAAATGATCAAGTATAACTTTTTGAAGTATTCTTTGAAAAGTATTTAATTCATTCTCTGGAATTGATTTTAAAAATTGATATAATTCTTGTATAGTTTGATAATTACGATTAGTAAGAAGATTTTCATTTTGTTGACAATCGAAATCATCGAAATTATTCATACCATTCATAGTTACAGTAGTTGTCACTGTACTACTTGTACTACTATTATTATCATTTTCTGTAAATGTTACCATTGGTGCATATGAATATTGTTGTTGTTGGTGGTGGTGGTGATGATGGTGTTGGTGTTGTTGTACTACGGATGAGGATGAGGATGATAAGCAAGTGGATGAGGATAGATTTGTGTAGAAGTGATTTTTTGAACTACATATTGTAGGTACTATTGATGTTGGTGTAGAATATTTGATTAATGTAGAAGAATGATGGTTATCAACTGATTTATAAATATTTGTATCATTGTTATAGTCTGTGTGTGAATTATTTGTGGTATGATGTCTTGGTGACGATGATGATGATGATGAATTCTACAAGCATAAAAACAATGAAAAATAAGAGATAAACTTAACTAAGGAGAGGAATAAGTAAGACAGTATCCCTTTAAGATAGTAAAATAGCATAGTTAGGAGTTAAGAAAGGTGGTACTATTCCCTCAATAATGCCATAGTTTCAATCTGCTTGATGGCTAACAGTGGAATCTAGAACGTGTGTTTCGTCCTATTTGGGGCTCGTCAGTTGGATGTACCTGCACCTCAGTAAGTGATGGGGCTCCCATTGTAACTCAAACAACCCAACCCAATATACCAACGAGAAATTATAAGTATCAAGCAATAACTGATACCTGTTACACAAGAAGTGGTTTTTCTACCCAAGTGGTATTTGATATGACGGGAACTAGGTTCGAGTCCGAGTGGGAACAACATCAGTCACTAGAGTCAAGGTAAATCCAGGTGGAGTGCTAAATGGAGTGAAAAATGCGTCCTGAATTCCACTGCTAGCTACTAAGATGATTACAATGGCCTGCTTGAACCTTACGCTACTAAATTTATCCATCAAACATTTCTCATCATATTCTTTCTTTTCAATTTGTTTTAATCATTTAAATATGTCTTTTGAATGTATCATGCACTCTTACACATTTTTAAGCTGTTTTCAACTCTCCATTTCTTGAGTCAGTAACAAAGCAGAGAAAAAATGTTACGTTATATAGAAGTGGACTTTTCAGTGCAAAAAAGTATGTCAGATTTCTATCTATCAGATACTTAGCTTGAGTTGCAAGTTTTCGTACAGTCTGAGTGTACCACCACCACCACCAAAATTACGTTCGCAATTCTGTTGATTCTTCATTATGGACCGGATGTACAACCAGAACCAGCTGGCTATTTTACATTATTGTCTTGAATATAGCTATTATTAATATTATTCCGATGCAATAGCCGTTTTATCTGAAAGTATTGTTCCGGGAGTGAATTTATTGAAAAATTACACGCTCAGAATTCCATACTGTCATACATATTGTTTGGAATAAAGCCATTATTATTATTATCATCATCATCATCATTACTATTATGAAATTGTGATAAAGAATTAAATTTATAAATTTAATTCGGGGGTTTGTAGGGATTTAGTGATTGTTTTCAAGTTGGTATTCATCATGGACTGACACCAGTTGGAGGGACATTGTAAACCTGGGAGCATTGGACGGCTGTTTCGTCCCAAAGTAGGACTCCTCAGCTGTACGCACCCATGACCCCGTCACGCCAGGGATCCAGTGTTCATCCAACTGATATCAGTCCATGATGAATACCAACTTGAAAAAAATAAATTTAAAAATCTCTGGATATAGCTGGATTCAGAGTTGTGGCTCATTGGCTTAGGGAGCTGAACAGTGAACTGGGGGTGGAAGGATCAAGTGCCAACGTGCTCATTGAGGTTTGGGCTACCAGGTATCATCACTAACCTTCACATAATCCATGTGATTCATTGCTTACTGCATGAATATGCACAACTTTACTGGGTGTATTTCGATTTCAATTTTTGGTAAGCAGTTCACTCACAAGCTCTGATTGTTGATGAAAATTCAATCTTACTTCGGTCATCTATTGTCCTACTCAGATTTAGTGTATACGATTGATATGTAACTGTTTTCTTTCTAAATGAATCAGCTTCCAACTATGCCTTGTCACCCTAATAAAGAAAAGTTCATTTAAAATGAGAGAAACATCTGTTTACGTGGTAGTTGAACTAACCAGGAATGGTCTTACTTGTCACAAACTGTAAAAGATATAGTGATAGCGGGTCTCAGTGCATACAAATTCTGAATAATTTGTTTTTTATTCAGAAAATATATGTTGTGCTATAACTAGAAGAGAGAAAACATTATTTAAATACATCAGGAAATCGAAATCCGCTACGCAGCGCCTTAATTTTATGCTTTCATTTTCATGCTACTTACTCCCTATAAGTAATATTTTTCTCTTTCTTATCATTTTATGGCCTAATACACTTTTGAGTTTCGGAGACGAGTTCTTACTTCATAGTTCGGGGTTTGTTTCTTGAATAATCATTATTGTGGCCCTATATTACATCAGAGAGATGTGTTCTTTAATTCACTATTTTACATGTAAGCAAGGCGATAAATTTGGAATTCTTAAGACAAAACCAAGAGACATTATTATACGTGTTTAAATCCTGTCTTCATAGTAATTATGCATAACATCGTATAGCCAACTAGTCAGTCAGCTTAAACACGAGGACAGGCATTACTAAGTAACGGGGTGGTTTGGTACAACTTATATCAGCACACTGATGTAGGAAGCAACATGTTAAAACATGCAGAAGTAAAGAAAAAAGTGATTAAAAGTGGTGAAGAGTTACAAGGAGATAAGAAGAAAGGATAAAGCAACAAGGAAATTCGGTATGGCGATTGAGATGAAGATAATGTGTGGATGCATCTACAACAGTGACAGTGATTTAGAGCTACATCACTTCGAGTCCTCAACCACCAATTTTGGTTGGCATGAGAATACTGGCCAGGAGGTCTACATTCGCCCACATAGCGTAGACCAACAAAATTCAAAGGCTGGTGCCAATTTTTTGCCTGGCTGCCTCTAACGTTTTCTTAGCCTAAACCTACTTCGGTTAACATTGTGCTAAGAGATATGTGCGGTGATTAGCCATGCACAACACATACCCCAGCCATCTCAGTTGATGAAGGTTTGCAAAACTCACCAACTAACTTTCGTCTTCAACCTAAGAGTCTATACCTGCATTTTCGATGTTATAGTAACAAAACACACTGCCTATGCTACAAAGCCTTGTTATATTCTTTACTTTTAACTTTCACATTTCACAGTCATACAGTGGAACGAGAAGAACTCCAGCGCAGTACACTATGCTTCTAATAGCTAATCGGATATCACTGTGGTGCCATCAATGGCGTAAGCCGGCGAAACCCAGTCGTGCCTTTTGTAACTATACAAAGCTGATCTGAATTCCCAAGTAAGTAAAATGTACAGCACACTCAATAAATTCACTCTATATTGCTAAATGGCCTGCCAGCGCAAACCAGTTCTGGAGCAACAGCTTGTATTTGGGTGAAGAGAAATGCATCCCGAATATTCTCAAACTCCCACTCATGTTATCCAGAAGACTCTGCATCTTACTATCATCTTCACCTGACAGAATTATGTCATCTGCATACTCTAGATATAATCAGGAGTCCCTGTAAAGTCAGATGAGAAGAGAAGGACCTCCATCAGTACGTCTATGACAAAGGTAAGAATGGAGTGGAAATACTTGATGAATACAAGTGAACTTACCATAGACTCTGTCCCAATCACAGATGTTCGAATACAGAGCCTTTAAAGTGGTGTAATTACTTGTCACTTCTTCCAGTGAGAGACACTACCGAAAGACCTATCTATCGGCGGAGCTGATTGCCATTTCCAGGCCACGAAGTACAACTAGTTAAGGACACCAGTAAGTGCAAGCGTGCCAAAACCTGGTAAATAGTGAATATCTGGTCAATACAGCCATGATAAGGTTTGAAACCTGCCTTTTTCCCTAGGATTTGTTACTTTTAAGCTTCATCTAGTTGTCACTTCGGATGTGAAAACAAATTATTGCCGTTTCTGCATTGACTAGATTGCTACGCTTTATTTATGAGAAGTGAATAGGATTGGAGAACTGATGAACTGATGAAGTAAGAGGTACTAAAGATGCTTAGGATAACATGACCATCATGGTTTATATTTCCTTTTCCATACATTTTTCCTTAATACCATTACAATATTTCATAGTTCACTTGGTGGCTAGCAGTGGAACCTAAGACACGCGTACTGGGTTCGAGTCTCAGTAGGCACACCATCACTCAGTGGGATCCAGGTATATCCAGCTGATGAATCCCAGGTGAGAAGAAACACGCGTCCTGAATTCCACTGCTAGCTAGCAACTAAATTAAACCATAATGAATACTTACGGAGTATCAAGGCATCTACATAGGAGTCCATCTGTAAACAGAGGTCATGCAATTCGACTGAGTATAGCAAAGACTGACTGGTTGCTTGACAAAATCAACGTAGAATCTCTCACACATGTGGATCAGTTCAAGCTGCCACACTTCACAGAAGTATACAAAGAATAGATGGTTGGCGAAAGACTGATTTCAAAGAAGATAAAGTAGTGTGAGAGAATAAACAATCCGAAGATAAAGGTTAGTATGAATATTCAAGCTTTAGAAGACGTCAAGGAGTGATCTCCACCATTGTGACCAGTTTTCGGCCATCTCTCCAAGAGTCAGTCTTCAACTACTGATTCCTTTGGTCTCGAGGCAACCAACCAGGCAGTCTACATCTGTCCACACAGCGAAGACCAACAGCCAGATAAATCATTGACTGATGCCACGTCTTGATCTAGTCACCCTGAACCCTCTTCCAACCTGGTCCAACTTCCGATAGCATAACATGTAGAGGCAGGCTGTGATTCGGCATGTGTTCAAACCAACCCAGTCAACTAAGATTAATAATCTCATTAATCGGCTTGCCTGACTTGCCCAGTACCCTTCATTGAATACTAACATTGCTCATACGGTGATTCCACCAAATACATGCAATGCTACGAAGACATCTGGGATCAAAACCCAGTAATAGTTTCGTGTCTTCCACTTCTAACCGCCATATCGCACAGCCGTATAACAGGATAGAATGGACTGTAGCGCAGTATTTTTCTCGTTTGATAGATAGTCAGATATCTCGCAAGTTGACGAATGGTAAACGGGTCTACTGTATCTGAGCTGATATTTCGTCAGTAAGCAAACCATTTGGGCTGATACGATTTCTCAAGTAGGTGAAGTAGTCTATACATTCCACCACTTCACTCCTTATCATTAAACTGGGAGTACTTACAGCAAACCAGTCCTGGAGCACCAATTTACATTTGACAGATGCAAGCGAAATGCGTCCTAAACATACTCAGATTTCTGCTCAACACGTTCAGAATACCCTGCATTTTCTCAGCATCTTCACCTAGCAGGACAATATCGTCTCATACGCTAAGTTATCCAAATGACCTCCAGGGAGTAGATCAATCCCTGTGAAGTCAAACTTATCCAAGATTAGACCCATTAATAGGTCTATGACGAAGTTAAGTAGGAACGGTAACAGTGGGCAGCCCTGACGAACACCACTAATTGTCGTCAATTCAGATGAAAACTCACCATGAGCCCTCACATGGCTGCGTGAGCTCGAATAGAGAACTTTGATTAGCGTTATATACTTGCCCAGTGGCTCCTTTTATAGTCAGACACTGCCACAACAAGTCGCGGTCGACTGGGTCAAATACCACCCTCAGTTCAACAAATATGCCTAGTGTCGTCCACCGGCAGGCATACCTGAGTTTCAGAACCTGTCGTAGGATGAAAATGTGACCGAGATGCCCTCATCCAAGTCTGAAACCTGCCTGCTTTTCGCGAGTTTGCTATTCTCGAGCTCTGTTGATGCCTTCTCCATCGCTCTCGCTTTCGTCACCCACCACTACTGGCAGTCGATGCAAAGACTCTTGGTCAACTTACGTTTAAATCGTTTTCTCTTTTCTTTGTAGTCAGAGACAGATGGAATCAGTTTTCCTGCATCAATCAGTTCAGATGACATCGAGTAAATCCAATGGCATTTGCCATTCTTACCGCTTTTTCTACAGCAGACTTAATATCACTTCAGGTTCCCTCAAGATCACCATTGCTACCTCTTCCCTAAATTAGGGCTTGACGTACTTATTTTCTAACTGACTATAGGCAGACTTTACTATCACCTGTTTCCTGCAAGCAATAAGGTTTAGACACACACAAGCTCATACTAATGCGGCAGCAGAGTCGAAACTGGTACTTCAAAAAGAGCTGCACTCCTTCACCGATCCTCTACAACCATGGCTTATAACAATGTGATCTATCTGTGTCCGTCGTTGGCTTGATGTCGGCGGATGCCATATGAGACAGTGCCTCTTCTTATGCCTAAAGTTAGTACAGGTCAGAAACAATTGGTTGTCCGAATAGAATCAAAAGAGACAATCACCGTTATCGGTTAGTTGGCATTGGTTCGTTAGGATTCTGTATATACCTCCTAGATGCTTCTCCGATTCACTCAGCTTCCCTACTTGAGCGTTAAAGTCATATGCCATTATGACTACATGTGAACTTTTTTTTCTGTAGTAAGGTTGACAGCTTTTCATAGAATTCATCTCTTGCATCATTTGAATCCCAGTCGATGGATGCATAGGTAGTTTACGAATAGACATCACCTAGTTTCACGATGCTTCCTAGTCATTACAGATCCATTCAACCGAATAGTACATAGACAGCTGTCGATTGGTATCCAGTCGAGAAGCCCACATTCTGCTCTACAACACAATGCTATACCTATACCAATAAGACCACAAGAGCAAAACGTTTGCGTTTCCGAATATTTAAGATTAATTACTACACTTGGAAAGTTATAAGTACCAATAAACAAGTATCATACTATTTCGGAGTTCAAATATACTAAAGTTCGCATTTTAAAAGAGATAAAAATACTATAAAAGTTTTTGTAAGAAATTATTATCTAATACTTACTTTATTATCAAGTTTTAATAAATAAGATGATGTATTATCAAATGTTCTTCCTTGGAGTACATCTAAACATTTCTCTAATTCACTAACAGATTCATCTTTAATTTGTACACCATTATTTATCTGACCTCCAAATATTGTCAAATATGACTCCAAACCTGATAACTTTGATGATGTATACTTATCATCATTCAATTTTGAAGTTTTATAGTTACTTGGTGAATTGTGAATTGCACGTGAATTACGCGTTGAACCAAGACTTGGATACCATATTTTAGCTTTGAGAACCTTATGTAAAAAAAAAAAATAGTTGGATATAAAACAAATAGAGAAAATTACTATTTGTTGATATGCTTTCAATTTTCCGTTGTTTTACTGAACCAAATAGTTCAACTTCTATTGGTATATAGGCTTGTATCCGGATACCTTAATATTGTCTTTGGGAACAACATCATTCACTGGGGCATACAGGTACATCTAGCCAACTAGTCCCAAGTAGTCAGAAACGCATATCTTTTATCCTGCTGATGACCATTAAGCAGACAATAATATAATGAATATTCGGGCAGTATCGACGCATCTATATTGGAGCCTGTCTGCTAAGAGTGGTTGAACAATTCAACTCAGTACACCAACGAGGAATTACAAGTATCAAGCATGTAATTTTGTTTTTCATCTTAGTTTATAAGCAACACTTTCATTTAATAATAATACTTTATTCTATTGGTTATGAGTTTCTTAGACATTTGATATTTGGTTTCATGAGTATTTGTCTTCTTGACTGAATCAATCTAATGCTCATTTAGTCATCTTTTATTTTACTCACCTTAATTCAATTGGATTTTTTGGAGGGATTGATTGATTTCAAGGGAGTGTTCATCATAGAGGAATGTTAGTTGAACAGTCGCTGAAAACCTGAGAGCACTGGTCAGTTGCTTTGTTTTAGTTTAGGAGCCCCTAATAGTGATCACCCAGGACTCCGAGAAGAAGTGAGTCTAAGACCGTTAGGTTTTGTGGTTAGCAACCTTACCACTCCAGCCACTGGTATGGAATTCAATGTCCCACATTATTCTACTTCTGTCAGTTAGCGATATGGAGAAACCAATATCCGATGTCGATAGCCAGTATTTATCCTCATACCCACCTCGGTTAACCTCATAGGTTACAGCTTTGCATTAAAACTTAGAAATCCATCTCGAAGGATGTTATAAATGAAAAGTTGACAGTTATTAAATATCTTACCAAAATAAAACGCTTGAATAGGTGGACAAATAGATTAAAACGAGTCCTCGTATTCATTCACTAATTGTAATAAATTAGCAAATAACCGTTTCGTTAGTAGCACTACGACTGTTAATAAACCATGTCACCCTGATCGTTGGTATTATAGCTTGTGAATCTCCGTCGTTGATTGGACCGAATTGATTGGCCATCACTAGTATATTTGAGTTCTTTTCGGACGCTTCAATACTGTTGGTACTTTCAGATTTGATATTAATGATCGGTAGTGGCTAGTAGGAATGAAATCCAGGATGCTGGTTTCGTCCTACTTAGTGGATAATGCCGTGATGTTTAAAGCAATAGTTACTGGGTTAGAATCTCAATAGGCTCAATATCATTAACTGGGTGGTAGGTGGATCCAGTTGACGAGTATCAGGCAGGACGAAAAACGCATCCTGGATTCTACTGATAGCCGTTTTCTATTACTAATATAATATTGCTCTAATTTGCACAGGACTCAGGTAGAACAAATATCCACAGTTAGGTGATCCCATTCATTCATAAAGTTATGATGATTTAAAGGGAAGCAGTTAAGGCTTGGTCAAGGACAACACCAACCAAGAGAATAATTCTCTTAAAAAGCCTAAATCCTAAGCAGCTTGAAGTGTTAGTAGTTCTTATAAATTTCAAGGTTATTCTTCTACTAAACATCTCAATGAACAAAGGAATATCATTGAAAATTAAAAATAATGGTTAAAGTCTCAGAACTAAGCACTGAGTAAAATAAGTTTGAAACCAATAGAAGAACGCCAGTCTCCTTATGCTTTGTGATATGTCTTGCTAATAAGTGCCAAGAAATACTGAAATTCAAAGCTTCCTGCCAATTAACTTCCAATATCTCTAATACTGTAACAAATCTTTAATAAAATTTATATTTGAGAACTTATAGAAATTATCCATGGAATGTTTGTATCAGATTTTATTGGATAGTTTCCACTTATGCAAATTACTAGGTGATAGAAGTTTGATGTTTTCTACCCTTTTGATATTTCATCATAGGCATTAATAAACAGACTAAATGTTAGAAAATGTTAACCTCTGTGAGATTCCCAAGAAGATAGAAATCAATGGTTGAGAACTTTTGGTGAAATAGATGAAAATAGGTCGACACTTTGATATCTAGTAAAGCTTAAATATTTTGATCAATCTTAATTTTTAAATTTTCTCCCTCCCTATCCACCTTTATCTAGTACGATGTCGATCTTTCGTTTCCCGAAGTATGACAACTTGAACAGATGCACTTCTGTGGTAGGTTCTACGTTAATTTTGTCTGTCTCTGTCTGTCCGCCTCCCTGCCTGCCTGTCTATCTATCTATCTATCTATCTATCTATCTATCTATCTGTCTGTCTGTCTGTCTGTCTGTCTATCTATCTGTCTGTCTGTCTAGAAGTCGAACTCTTCTATTGACAAAGGATTGAAAATCTTTGCATTATGAATACTTACCTTCTTAATTGTTTTCTGTCCTACTAAGTGTCCTTTACTAAATGATGTAGCTGTTGACCGTAAATGATAATTTGATCGTTGACGGTGAAAATGATTGACAGTGAACAGTACACCGAATAGAAATATTAGAAATAATATGCATGATATTAAAGACAATACATAAATTGATATGTCTACAATTTTATAACGACTTCGTTTCTTCTCTTCAATTGATGGAGTTATTATATCAGGATTAATTGATTGTACAGTAAGAATAGTTTGAAGCAAGTCATGATTTCGATTGTGCATATAAGCGGTAAGAAATTGTGCAGCATAATCCACATTATGAAAACATGCACCACCTAATAATTAAAAAAGGTGATCATTAAGAAAAATTAATCAATGAGTAGTAATATTATCTGATATCTGAATGGCAATGTTTACCAGACCAACCCCACGTCCAGTACACAACTGGTTTTAATTAGATTACTTAAGTTATTGTTTCCCTGCTTTTTTAATTTACTCGAGTAAGTAGATCAGATGGCCAGAATAATAAGAATAAGCAACAAGAAACTGTGGCTGACTGACTGACTGACTGACTGACTGACTGACTGACTGACTGACTGACTGACTGACTGACTGACTGACTGACTGACTGACTGACTGACTGACTGACTGACTGACTGGCATCAAACCAACGAAGCAAGAAGTTATCGCCCAACAAATATGTAGAATAAGAAAGTGGGGATGGATTGTATTGCATTAGACATACACTGAGAAAGAAGACCGTCTGGGGACATCACGCGCCAGACCAGGTCGTCGAGTGGAACCCAAATGGGAAACGACGAGTTGGTCGTCTGAGGTGAGGGTGACATGGAAGAGATGGTGTGAGGAAGAAATGAAAGCCTCTGGGCAGTCGTGGCGCCAGGTTAAAAAGACTGCAGAGAACATTGTGAAATGGAGATGTGCTACTGAAGCTCTATGTTCCACTAGGAACCCAAGGGACAAATAATAATAATCAGCAGAAAAAGGTTGTTCAAAGGTTTAAATGAGCAAAGGTGATAATGAATTCCACATTTAAGGAAATCTTTGTTAAATGGAATTCCAACTTGAAATAAATTATTAAATCTCCAGAAACCTCCAGATTGAATTGATGTAGCGCTCATTGGTGACACATATGAGAGGTGATTCCCGAAGTTCCAATGAGAAGTTGTGACCAGTGGAGTCAACCGAGTCGAACATCAGGACAATTACTCAACGATGACACTGGATGAAGGTCACGCTGTGTCGTGAACTGACAGAAGTAGGAAATATGGGCCACTGGATTCCGACCCAGCGGCTCAATGGCAACGTGCTGGCCACGGAACCTCAAGGTCCTCGGTTCGACCCCTGGCGGAGCGGGGTCACGGGTGCGCACTCCTGAAGAGTCTCGTACCAGGACGAGACAGTTCTCCAGTGGTCCCATGTTTCCAATGTTTCTCCAACTGATGTCGGTCCATGAGTAATAAAAACTTATGGAATCGAATTAATCTATCTGAAGCAAGCTAATAAATATTACAGTGATTTCAAAGTGTACTTCCAATGCTTTTCCTATATGCGTCATGTCTATTGGTCAATGTAAAGCTCGTATTCCAACAGAGACCGATTAATTTGACCGAAAAGTCAATCAAAAACAGAAGATTATAAGTCCTTAAGTAAAACCATACTCTTTGCATAAGAGATGGCTCTTGTAACCCACTGAGATGCAGTCCCAGATACGACGAAACAAGTGCCGCGTATGGCATTGCTAGTCACTACCAAGCAAACATGGATTATTTTGATTGCTAAGTGTTTGTACACTTGAGAAGTTCTTCATCCTTTTAATTAGTATAAGTCAGTTTAACCTTGACCTGGCTTATTTACAACTGAGATTTTCATTTTTGACTGTCTGAGATAGTCGTGGTTTAGCAGTCTAGTATTGATACTGAGTGATGATTGAAGATGAAACGAAAATATGGACCGCGGCCGGATTCGAGCCAGTGATCACCGGGTTTCCAGCCCGATGCTTTACTAAATGACCTATGAGGTTTAACTGGTGACCAAATTTTTATTTTACTTCAATCACCATGAGTTTTACCCCACTACCGTATGAATTCGTGACGCGTTACTAACGCTTGACCGTACTTGCACTGGCTGCCTTGTCATGACTTATCATCGCAATCAAAATCTAATTGCATGACAGAGGGGAGCATCATATTGATTATCATTTTCGACTACCTGATAATAGCTGTGAGATTTTCTAGACTAGATCGAGACACAAATTTAAGTATTAACATAAACTACAAAATATTATTGTATTGATAAAAATAATAACTTAAATGGAAGTTGGAATTTCGGTGACAATTTGTGTAGATCGAATTCACTCCTGAAAAACTTATACTTCACATTGATGATAGTACAGATTTTTTTTTAAAAGCGAACAGAAAACTACGCATTCATGTACAAAATTGGAAATACTGCATTTGACTGAAAGCTGAAAGCATCTTCATTTATATATATATATATATATATATATATATATATATATATATATATATATGTAAGGTGACTACTTAGTATTTGCAAGTAGTAAACATCCTACAGCAAAATAATTAGAGTGTAGTGAAAAATGTGTTCATAGGGTCATTGCAAGTACTTAGCTTTTCTATTTTCACTTGAAATCAAGTCAAACGAATATATATATATATATATATATATATATATATATATATATATACACCCTCTAATTAGTGTAATCAACCGTATTTAGCATAGTGTTTCTGCATCACCCGTTGTAAAATCCAAGTACATGTAACTTCCTATCATCTGTCTCACTCTTTTCTCCTTATCTTGAGTTGAATTATCACTAAGACTGGAATATGAAGGTAAATTTACAATAATCCATGCATTTATTAGTAACTTAGCAACTCAGATTAGTAATACTGTTAAAAAAGAGACTTAACTCAGTGACATTTCAATAATATTTAAGCATTCTCTTTTGATACTTATAATCACACGTTGATATACTGGATAGAATTTACCGACCTGTTTTGGAAGATGAGGCTCAATGCGGATGTTTTGATATTATACGATTACACATTGTGATATAGTCTGCTTGGTGGAATCGAGAACGCGCATTTCGTCCTATTTAAAACTCATCAGCTACACCTACCTACACTCCAGTGAGTATTGTCCGTACTGAGAATCGAACCCAGTAGCCAATGTTCCAAACCCCAAGTAAAATCTCTTTCTAATGCTATACACACAAGTAGATTCATTATTCATTCAGATTTGGTGATTGTAGTCAAGTTATAAGAGCTCTTGTTAGTTGCAAGCAGTCAAAGTCTCTTATGTCACACATCTGTTCTATACACTATACACTGTACCAATTAACGCAACAACTTTGGTTAGATTTATGCATCGTCTCTATATTCAGTTTAGCTGTATGCAGTGCAGCCATTATCAGAATAAATGACCGTAAAGGTTTTAGTATTTTAAAATACCTCTCATAACATGCACGAGACGAGAATGGCGTTAGTGTTGTATATATATATATATATATATATATATATATATATATATATATATATATATATATATATATGTAATAGGCTTTAGTGTTTGTGACATCAGAAATCTTGTATACAACTGTCTTTCTTATTCAACTAATGACACTGATTAATTGTGCAGTTCTATTCATCACAAATATTTCTCTTCATACTATGAAATTTATTGTAAAGAAAATATTTGACTAAAATTCTGACGAAAAAGAAATATCACTTCTATTTCTTTATTCTTCTCCGCCTCTTGATCCATCTCTTTTACGTTATACACCGCATTGTCATTATCTTTTTTTGGTAGCATTTAACTATAGTTAGAACTATATATGAATGAATGTCACATAGTTTTCAAGGGGGGGGGGGAAAGTAAAAATAGTTTATTCAAATAGATCCTCTTGAAAATGTCATTTACATGTAAAAGTAAGCTGAAGTAATTTATCAAAATTTTTGCAAAGAAAAAAAAAAGAAAAGAAAATGAATACATATTTTACAGTTGTTGTTATTGTTGTTGTGATTATTATTCGTGTTATTTATACAAACGGTTTTGTCATAAAATGTTCAATGTCTAATTTATTTTCATCTTTATGATGCACTAACAATTTTTGTTCATTTCATTTTCTCTTATAAAAATGTAGACAATAATCTCGTACATAACTTCACAAGAATACTAAACACACTAATGTGTTGTTTACGTTATATGAAGACAGTGTCTAATTTCAAATTTTTGATTTTTTTTTCTTCTATTCCCCCCTTCTGCTTAAACTACTGTTTATGATATTAAAATGTCAGGATTAGTCGAATTTAGACGCTTGACAAAAACCAATAAATTCTATAAAATATTTAGTTTCAAGTTTGTAAAGATTTCTTTATTTTAAGGTAGTATACATCATGGATCAACAACCTAAGAGCATTGAACGTGTGTTTCATATCCTAAGTATACGACTGTTCAATAAAACACCCCGACGACCTCATCAACGATCGAATTTAAAACCTTCAGGTATCATCATGAACAAGTTAATTATTCAGCCACAGGCTTGAAGTTCAGTATTCAATAGTTTCATGCTTCTGTCACTTTGTAATTCAGCGTGACTGACAAAGAGCTCCAGGGCACGGCGAAGAAAAGTGTCCACGACATTTTGAATATCAGATTAGACTAAAAGCATCTCATATATATATTTCTCTGGTGTCTTATATATTATTATCTTTCCCTTGGGTTCCTAGTGAAACATACGGCTTCACTAGCACACCTCCATTACACTCTCTTCTCTACAGTCTTCCCTTTTAACCCGGCTCCACAACTACCCATAAACTTTTATTTCTTCCTCACATGATCTCCTCCATATCACCCTCACCTCGGACGACCAACTCAACATCTACCCTTTGCATCCCACTCGACGGCATGGCATGACATGGCCTACCTTGATGCCTGATGTACCAAAACCATCTTCCTTCTCACAGTATATCCAATACAATACAATCCATCTCCACCTTCTTCTTCTTCTTCTTCTACATATTTGTTGGGCGATAACTTCTTGCTTGGTTGGTTCGATGCCAGACAGCCAGACAGCCAGCCAGCCAGCCACAGTTCCTTCTTGCTTATTCTTATTATTCTCGCCATCCCATCCCATCTCATCTTCAGTATCGAGTGAGTGTACGAGACAGCTATTGATGAATGTTTGTAGTTTGTTGAAAATGCTTTTCGTGACGCCCCACCAAGTCTCTCAACCATCACATAGAAGCATTGACTTACTTGATTGAATTGGTGTTGGAAATCAGGATATTGT